ATTGTATAAAACACATTTGTACATTCGCTACCCTCATCATTATCCAAACATTTGCTCTCCACGTAAGCCCCTGGGATCAGCTCCTCATTTCCTGCCTCCCCCCTCCCTCATGAACCCTTGATAATTTATAAATTATTATTTTGTCATATCTTACACTGTCCGACATCTCGCTCCACCCACTTTTCTGTTGCACATCCCCCAGGGAGGAGGTTATAAGTTGACCCTTGTAATCGGTTCCTCCTTTCCAACCCACACTCCCTCTACCCTCCCGGTATCACCACTCTCACCACTGGTCCTGAAGGGGCAATCCAAGTCCTTTAAGCAGAGACTGGGACCTACAGTTACTAGTGCCTGAGAGGAGACTGCTCCTTGGAATTATCGGAAAACCCAGAGTTTGCTCCAGACCCCTGGACTTTTATAGTGAGAGAAAGAGGCTTTCATCTCCCATCAACAGTCTTAGAAACCCGGGGGCCCATTCTGCCTTCCCCCTATAGAGTGGCGATGAGCAGGGATCGCCTGAATGGCAGGAAGTGTGCCTTTATAAACACAAGAAGAAATTCCTTGAGAATTCTAGGCTCCTGGGTCTTCTTTGAATGTTATCTTCGGAATCTGCAATTTCTACCATGCTCTCTACAAATAAGCCCAAATGGGTGCTGTCACATTAATTCTGACTCAATGGGGCCTTATCCCATGTTGTATCCGAGCAAAACTGCTCTGTAAGGTTTTCAATGGCTGGCTTTTTAGAAGTAAATCGCCAGGCCTTTCTTCCAAGGCACCTTTCAGCAAACCTGGACCATCAGCTTTTTGGCTAGCAGCTTCAAGCATTCACTGTTTGCACTGAGGACTCCCTGATGGAGAAGGAAGGGCAAAACTGAGACCAACAAGAGAACCTATATTTGAGAACAGTCCTTTGAGCAGGCGAAACAAACAAACAGAGAAACCTGCAGCAGAAGGAAAGGCATCTCTAAGGCTGTAAGCCAGGGGGACTCAGGCCTGGCATTTGTTGCCGATCCATCAAACTGCTTCGCTACACCTTCCGAGCAACATTATAATTAGGCTTGGGCATTATTTTCATTCTAAGCAGTTATTTCTGGTGCTGTGTTACTTTTTCAACAGCAAAAAAAAAAAAAAAAAAATACCCTTTGAACTGGAGTTAGAGGAGGTCTAAGCCCGGAAAGAAACATCCATCTAGACCCACCAAAATAGCTTGTGTGTGTGTGTAAACTCATGGTGGGAGTCTGAGGGGGGGGGGGGCAGGGTTGTTGGACGGGAAGATAGTCTGATAGGTGGAAGGCCGCTAATTTTCAACGCCAGCTTGAATACTCTAATCAAGGGAGTTCTTCCTACATGTAATTATTCCAAAATTCTCATCTGGTGAATCAATGTTCTGATTCTTCAGGGAGGAAGTCAAAACTCTCTGGATGCTGCATCTCCAGCTCTCAGTAACAGAGAACCCCTATCCTGCGGCTGCAGGATTGTGAAACAAGGGAACCAGAGGAGGAAATTGCTCAGGCCCTTCAAGGTGAACGCCAATAACGCATTCTGGGTCCAAAAGCTACATCAGAAGTTCCATTTCCAGAAACTACTGGCTCCACTGAACGCTGAAACTTAGCAAAATGTATTTTTCTTTTGAACTGGACCAAGCAAAACAATCCTGGGCAAAGCAGTTCTAGGTAAAAAAATTAAGGCCAATGTAAGACAAAGCTCTTGTGTTATCTTAAACATGCTTAAATTTAAATAAATTTGATTGTATGTTTTATATGCACATTTATATTTACAAACGTCTTCGTGGCAGTTAATAGCGAACGGCAGTAGAATGGGTAGCAGAGCGGAGCCGAGGGGTCTGAAGCTGCACTTGGAAGATGAACATTTGTTTCACGATCCAGATTTGCTACTAATTATATAAACTTTGGGTACACCGATTTCTAATGCTGAGATTCACAGATGTTAAACAGTGTACCTCAATGTTATTTATAATTAATCCCAAACCTCTGTGACTTGGAATGTGTTGCTCACCGATAGTTACATTTCTACCAGCCCATAAATACTAGCTAATAATTTTCCCTTTCCGCTCGCACAAATAGCATTTGCCCAGGGTTGCCTTGAGTCTCTCTGCAGCACACATGTGAGTCTCTCCCAACCCCACCGAGGGGGTAAGATGAAGGGACAGAATTCCCATTGGACAGATGCAGAGACTGAGACGTAGGAGATGGAGGTCAATAGAGAGGTCATGTGGCAGAGTGCTTTAAAGACCCTGCGGGACAGTCCGATACGGTTGGCAGGAGCCGGATTCGACTCAAAGGCAATGGGGCTTTTGGGGCTTGGGTCTTGTTTTGATATAGGATAGGAGGACTGTCCTTAGACGCTCCATGTATCTAGTTTCATTTTCTCCTCACCGAGCCACCTGGGCAGTGGAAAAGAGGAAGGCCTGGCATGGTGGACACACCAGAGGGCTCAGACTTAGGAAGCACCGTGAAGATGGCAGCGTCTCCTTCTGTGTGGGTAGGGGCTGGACGAGTCAGAAGCATGCAGTGGCACTCACAGCGACAAAGCACCCGGGGAGGGGCCCCAGGTGAAGGGATTTTGGAAAACGTTCCGATCTGTAAAACTGAAATAATCCATACATTGGGGACCCACGTTGACTTACCTCAGCAGAAACGAAAGGTTCCTGAAGAGAATGTCAGATACGGAAGCCCCTTAGGTGGAGCGTGGGGGTGGGGGAGGATGAAGAAACAAGGGGGCAATGTTATACTCACCACACACAAAGCCATCTGGGCTAACAGCAAAAATACTTTTTCCTTTCAGCAACTGAGGATGGGCACAACTGGCGTTTACAAAGCTCTGAAAGTTGTTTTCCGCCACCCACTGTGGGAGCCATTTGAGTTGGCAATCACACAAAAGGCTGGATGTATTTAAATGCCTGAGGAGAGTAATTACATTCAATTGGTTGTGTATGAATTGCAGATTTCTATAAGTAAACTAAACTCAAGAACACATTAACAAAGCCCTGGGTTTCGAAACCAAACACACACATCCCACGCAGTTAATATTCTAGAGTTCCTCTTAGGAGGGGGCCCGGGAGTTCGATGGTCAAGGGTTCGACAGCGAACCCCAAAGTGGGGAGTTTGGTCAGGCAGCCTTTTCTCTAAGAGAAAAGACAGGGGAGTCCGTTCCGGAAGGATTACAGCCCAGGAAACCAGCTCCATGTTAACACACAGGCTCGTGAAGGGTTATACGCTACTCAACAGCAGGGTAGTCCATCTCAAAACGCAAGAACAATACCAAGTATGGCATTATTCTACTTGGCAAAAACACTCTGGAATCCAGGTGCCACAGAGGCCATGGAAAGTCACGGCACCCCAGTGTGTCGCCAGCAGCACTGTTCAAGGGCTGACAGCTGGAAAGTAAACCGCTAGGCTTTTCCTTCCCAAGCTCTGCTGGGTGATCCGAACCTCCAGTCTCCTGGCTAGCAGTCAAGCACGTGGACCATTTGTACCAACGCAGTGACATACACTGTGTGCACGGGAGTGAGGGAGGACAAACTGAACCCCGTTTGGTTCCCGGTAGAAAAGTAAATGCTGACACAGGATGACCCCACGCTGTAACAGAGCGGCTCCTCCAGCTCTCGGGTCAGCCTCGGAGAAGGAAAGGGAAAGCTTACAATTGCTGGAGTTTCTTCATCTGTGAAAAGGCATTCCCTTGTAATGACATGATCGCGTTGTCGCTGAGGTCCCTGGAAAAACCACCAAATCCAAAACGTCAGGAGAGGTGGCCACTGCGTGTCTTGAAGCAGAGTTCGGGTCCACTTGACACACCCCGTTTACCAAACAAGTCGTCTGTGCACTGGAGGACAGGGCTTAGCAGCCCTAGAGGATCCCATTACAAAGCTTGGGTTGAAGAGCATTTGGGGCAGGCTCTCTCTTGGTGAGAGGGAGTAAGTAGGAGCAAGTTATTGGGTGGGGGTAAAAGCTCCTCTGCTAGGCTCCTCTATTGTATTTTCCATTATTCGAATTGGTACACATTGGTGACTTTTAAATATACAAACAAAATTCCTCCTAACTATGCTTTAAAAAAATCCTTTGCAGAATACTTTTTATCATATGTACTATTGAGTAATTTACATATATTATCGTGCAATATGATTCCTCCCAGACACTGAAAGGAAGGTGGTATACACAAATGACCTTGCTGAGCCTGGAGGGGGCACATGGTGTGGGAATCCCATTATTCTTCATCCCCAATCTGATAGTCTTCCTAGCCAATTCGGCCCCACACTCCTCATTGCTCTCAATGCAGTAAGGCGTTCAGAAAAGGTGTCCTTGTGAAAAACAGCCAACAAAACCCCACTTCAGATGGTCCATTTATAAAACGAGAGAATCTCCTGGGCTTTTCCATCAGCACTTGAAATAAAGTGCCCTCCACATTGACCACTCCGCTGAGAACTGCTCAGAATGGCCAAACGGGATTTTGATAGAAACAAATGGCAAAAACAGAAGGGCCTAAAATTACCCGAACACGGGGAAGGGGCAGGCTGGGCCAGTTCGTGGACCGTCAGAGAATGGAAGCTGAAGTTCAATATTCCACCCACCTACTCACTGTTTCCACTCTCCCAGAAATGGAAGGGGCCAGATGGCAGACCCTTTTGGCTAGCTTTCCCTTGAGAACAATTCATTTGGGGAAGTAGAGCAATATGAGTGCATCCTTCTAAAGTCCTGTTTTGCAGCTTGAGTCTATTGACAGTGTGCTGCTACCTCCATCTAACGGGAAGTCAGGAGGAGACTGCAAAGTGGAGCTTAGCGAGACCAGCCAAATCTCCACTCTCAAGTCACAGAACAACTGACGGCTGATCCAATGTGTATTTTCAATGGCTACTGTTGGACTTCAAATTAACACAATAGATTAAGGATATGATCAGATTAGTCGAGGCGATTTTAAAATGTGACTATAAAGATACTTTAATACTCAGAGTAGACATAGACTCCATTATTTTGGCATTTTTACTGCCTGGTTGTAAGGCATACCCAGGGTTCTGAGCAGCCGATTCCTTCAAAGAGGCACCCCATGGTGCTCAAGTAGCCTGGGACTCCTAGCAAGGCTCACTAGCTTTGATCCCCAAGTGGCTGAAAGTGCCCGAGCCCCTAAATGCCATTCAAGAATGTGTGCATGGTTTACCGTGGGCAAGGACAGCGATCTGCTCTTCGGAGAGACTGTGGTGCAGGACACCGATAAAGTATACAGGCCCTGAAGGCCGGCGTCCTGCTTCTCCCGGTTGCCTTTTGTCCAACAGAACCAACGAACCCCCAGAATCTCTACTTTTTAAGTCAAAAATAAGGGAGATGACAATAGCTATTAAATAGTTTTCTTGTGAGGCTTAAATGAGTAGATACACACACACACACACACACACACACACACACACACACACACACACGGGCTTCAAAGAGTTTATGGAAAAAATAAAAGCTAAAGGAAACACACACATACACAGCAGGGACCCTGGTGATACTGGGGGCTCTGCACTGAGCTACTAACTACAGGATCCAAGGTTTGAACGGACCAGCCATTTCTCGAGAGAAAGATGGGGCTGCTTGTGCCCATACAATTTAAAGTCTCAGAAACCCCACGGACCAGTTCTACCCTGTTCTCTTTATGTTTACCTCAGTCAGAATTGACTCGATCAAGTGCGTGTTTTTTTTTCCCTTTTCTGTAAGCGGCATAATGCCTGTTACATTGAGGGCACAAAATAAATGTTAGGGCTTTTTGAGTACTATTGTTTTTTGGTACTTTTGTGTTTTTTCATTAAATACATCATCACTGCAGGGAAAACAGCTAAACTAAGCCCAATAAGTGAGCTGTAGCAATGTCCATAGACACAAAGGGAAATATACAAATACAACGGTATATGCACTTCCATAGACAGACAGACAGATGGGTAGGTGGATGGCTGGACGGTAGGGAGATCTGACATATACTCTGTAGGAGTGAAAGGATGCCAGCAAAATCACATCCTACTTTGCTTTATCTTTCATGAGGCATAAATAGATAGCCATCTTAAACTCTTTTTAAGGCAATTAAACACTCACTACTTACAGGTGTTCTAATGCATCCAGACCAGTGAAGGCTTTTCTGGTGATAGACCTAATCCGGTTTCCCTGGAGTATTCTGGGAAAAAAAAAAAATCATGTTACAACACTAAAAACAATTTTGGGAGGTGGCTTTCATGAAAATAACCACTTTATAAATCATTGGTAAGCAATTCTATTTTCTTCCATGAAAGCCCAGAGCCTTTACAGCTGTGGGCAGGCCATCTCCCCCAGTAACGTGGCCCCTTCACCGTGGCCCCTTCACCATGGCGTGCAAAGCAGACAACAGAGGCGCAGCGAAAACAAAACTTCAAAAACTATGACCCTGATGGTTCCATTAAAGTAGTAATTTTGCAGAGTCTTTTTAGGACTAGGTAGGAGCTTTATTACAAATAAGTGGTCTCAGAATTACAATGAATACTATTAAGCTGTTATTAGCAGAACATTTCCTCTTCACACTCCCTTCCCCGAACCACACACACAGCTCACTGCCACCGAGTCATCGAGTCAATGTGGCCTCCTGGCAACCCAAGAGGACAAAGTGGAAATGGCCCTGTGGGTTTCCAAGACTGCATGTAACTCGTTATAAGAGCAGAAAGCCTCGTCTTTCTCACTTGGAGTGGCGGGTGGTTTCAAACCGCTGACCTGTGCAACCAGGGCTCCTCCTCCCTCCCCAGGGGTATTCTCTATCTTTTACAGGGCTCTAGGGTTAAATATACCTCAACACATTTGGCTACCTCTCAGGCCATCTTATGACTAGATGCGAGGATGTTTGATTTTGAATTACTTGGAACCTAGGCAGTATTACTGGTAGACACTGGATCTCCCTGTCCAGCAGACACTGTACAGCAATTCCTATGAGGAGAAACTGAGGTAGAGGTTTGCAAAATGCTGACATTTGGTGGGTGCATTTTCATACAATGATAATGCCCCAAGCTCTAAGCACTCAAAATAACTTTAAACTTATGATCTAGGTGTTAAAATAAACTACACAAATGGAAGTGCTGAATAAACAGGTTTTACCCACAGAAGAAAAGGCCATTGATCCACTTCTGGTGTCGCAGCACACATTTTGGGAAATGACAATGGGTAGCATTCAGATTATCTACCTCTTTCCAAGCCATTTGAAATGCCAAATTGTACAAGTGACTTTAGCTAATGCACTCTTTTTCTTTAAGGTTAAAAAAAAAATGAGTCAAATTCTGAGACAAATCCTACTCACAGCTGCCTCAGTTTGTCAAGCCCAGAGAAAGCACCATTCATGTCTTCAATAGTCCAGGAAATTTCATTGTTCTTTAGATCTCTAATTGAGAAAAGAAGAAATGTTGCTGAAACCAGTCCCAGGTAACGGTATAAGATACGAGTCTTTAAAATGACGATCAGAATTCTAGACCCACTGTCCAGGCAGTATATGATGTGTAATGCATTCCTCATCATTCCCCGTCACCTCCACCCCTCTCAAAACAATGGGGCACTTCTTTTCTTCCCATTCTTCCTAACAAATGCTGCTCTGCTCTCCCATAACCGTTTTAGTTCTGGCCCCAAATCAGGACGGTTGACCTGGCTCAGGCCCTAATAATTTCTCTATCAAGATGACTAACTTCTGAAACACTTGAACAGTCTGAAAAATGCAATAAACTTTAAAACCACGATTCCAACCACACACGGGGGCACGGGCCAAAGTAGACAGTGTGTCTTTCAATTATGTAATGCTTCAGACGGCAAACGGAGCCAGCATTTCTGACAATGCAAAAACCAACGGGCCCTTGCACAATACGGACTTAACATTGGAGAGATTTCACAAAGGTCAATACATTCAATCCTCTCTTCTTCCTCTCAGGGCAGAGACCTGGACAGAACCGGCATGATAAACAGGCAGCTTCTTCCTTTGCGGGCCCTTGTCTATCCTTTTCCTCCGGCTAATATTTAATCTGCATTCTATAAAGAAAAATCAGGGAATCTAAAACCATTCCCCAGTTCAGCAATTACTAACTTCCCGGATATCCCAAGAGCCCGAGAGGGTAAACTGTAAGTACCACAGCAATCTGATCACCGACTGTCCTGTTTAATCCTTTTAAGCATCACATTTGGGTGAAAGGACCGATTTTAATCAAACTGACCTGGGAAAGATTACGACGCGCCTTCTGAGGCTGTACACATTTCCTTCACAACAAAGGAAATGGGCTTGGAGAAAAGTGGGCCCGTTTTAGGAGCCAATTACATTCATGTACAGAGAGCAAAGTGTGTAACTTACAAAGTCTTTAAACTGGAAAGTCCCCGGAAGGCACAATCAGCAATGTAGCTGACTTTGTTGTTCCCAATGTGCAGTGTGTTTAATAAACTCAGGCCAAGGAAACTCGAATCATCCAACCTCGATAAGTGATTGAAAGTCAGGTCCCTGCAAACAAACCAAAAACAAACTGCAGTCGTGTTTTTTTCAATCCAACACAATGGGTTGCTTTCTGAAAAAAACAAAAACAGGTCCCACCAGAGAGTTTCAAAAGGTGGGTGGGAAACTTCCATGCTCTCCCTTCCATTCTATTTCTCCACGAATGTTCTCGAGGCCCCTCATCTAAGAAATGCACTGATCCTTATTTTAAAACCCCGCCTGCTCAACAATGCCCTGGTCAATGCTATCGTTAATATTAGTCCCGGAAACAAAGCACAGCCTCTCTTACTTGAAAGGCGCCAGCACTGGCTTTGGCCAGGGTCTCATGGAACCTGAACGGCACACAGTTGGCTTCAACTTATCGCAACAAAAACGTGGCTAAGTTGCACGTGAAAAAAAAAATTTTTTTTTTTTAATAAAAAGCTGTCATCTTGGAAACTTTGTTGTGAAAATTTCACAGCTCAGTGGCAAGAGGCTCATGCTCTGGCATGATCTCCGAGCTCTCAGACCTGAGCAGAAGAAAAGGCAACTCACAGCTCGCTGAGTTTCTGGCAGAACTCCCAGGCATCAGGGCTGATCCTGTTGATGGCATTTTGGCTGAGATGAAGTTCCTGCAGCATCAGCAAGCCATAAAGCCAGCCCTTGGTAATCTCTGTTAGGTTGTTATGGTCCAGCTGCCTATGATGAGAACAAAAACAGCAGGATCAAAAGTTTATTATCTCGTCTCTTCAAAAGGGAACTTATTATTACAACCTATTACACATGCCTATTGTTTCTAGATGCTGGGCTTTTATTCTATGAGGGCATTGGCAAAAAGATGCCATGCACTTATAAATCCTCAATCACCACTGCCCGGCACAAACCCTGATATTACATTAGAAATAGGATTATAAATGGTGAGAGTTACTAACTATGCACTGAGCGTTCTATACAAAGTGGGAAGGGAGCGGGCTAACCCACACTTACAAGATTTCCATGTGGCTTAGCCCCCAAAAAGCTCCATCCATAAGCTTTGTCACTCCATTTCTTTGCAGTTTCAAAGACTTCAGAGCACCAAGCCCTTGGAACGTGAGTCCATCTACGTTCTTGATCTTGTTTCGGTTCAGCTCACTGCATTGGATATTACAGTTAAACAACACGTTATGAAGGCAAATTCTGAAGGCAGCAATGAAATGTGCTACTACTCCCATATGCCAAACAAAACCCCCAATACACCCACTGCCACGGTGTCAATTCTAATGGACAGTGACCCGGAATAGGGTTTCTGAGACTATAAATCTTTAAGGAAGTACACCGTCTCATCATTCTCCCACAGAGAGGCTGGTGGGTTTGAACCAGTGATCTTCTGGTGGGCAGCTTACTGCTTATCCCACAGTGACACCACTGAAATGATCTAGAACGCAAAACCAAACTCACTACCATCGAGTCAATTACAACCCGTAGTCACCTTACAGGACAGAGTAGAACGACCCCGCTGGGGTTTCTAAGACTTCACTTCTTTACTAAAGTAGACAAGCTCCTATTTCTCCTTTAGGTCGGCTGGTGGGTTCACACACTGACCTTGTGGTTGGCAGCTCACTGTGTCACCCATACCACCACCAGAACTCCTACTGAATTACATGGAATGGTTTCTATCTATAAACAGCTTTATTAAAAGATGTTTTAAACTTAATACATTGTGGCTTTCCTTCTGAGCGATCAGCTTTACTTTTGCAACATCGAAACTCCATTGCTGTGTCATCTCTAATCTAATGCCCAATCAGCATAGAAATAAACTGAAAAACACTTGTTTTTAAATGCTCCAGAATGGGCTCATTGAATTCTACATTAAAACAAGAACCCCTTTTGGGAGCAGGGCCACCAAGCTTATCCTGTTCCATCTGCTCCCAAAAGTTGGCCTTTATCTCCCGTGATTCTCTTTATGTTGCGCGCTTTGTCGTTAAGGCAAAACCTTAAAGTGTCAACCTTAGTTGCAAACTGGAATCATCTGGGGAACTTTAAAAATTACTGAAGCCTGGATCCTACCCTCCGAGGTGCTAAAATAATTGCTCGAGGGTGTGGCCTGGGCACTGGGATTTTTAAAACTCCCTGAATGTCTGTAATGTGCAGCCAAGGTTGAAAACCACTATTGCAGGAGCCTGTTCACAGATCATTCGACCATTATTAACGAGACAGTTCTTTACGGCCACTTAAGCTCTCAGAGCCTGCTGGAGTTGTCGGTATTATTCTCATAACGCACGGCTGCTGGGCGTGCTCGTGACTCCTTCAGTGCCACAGCGGAGCCTCTGGAAGGAGGCTGTGCGGTGACTACACTGTGCCCTCTTCCAGTAACAGCCTAACGTGTCTGGTCAGGGAGGCGTTTGCACCAGGTGACTTTTCATGTTCTTTCTGACTCGGAGATTCTGAAATTCCAACTCTCAAAGGAAAGGCGGTCACATGCTTGCCTCTAAATTCCTCCTGCCACGTTATGGTTTCCAGGGACTAGACACCGAGGGCTGGTCAGAGGCGAGGGAATGGTGTGCAAGACGCATTTTACTCACAGGTGCTGCAGGTGGGGCAGTTTAAACATCTTGGCCGGGATCGTTGAGAGCCGGTTCCTGTTCAGCTTCAACACCAGGAGTGTGCTGGCCAAGTTGTCAAAACAACCAGGGTCCATGGCAGTGACTCGGTTGCTGTTGAGATACCTGTGGGCAGGTGGGAGCTAAGCTTCTTTCTCGTTTCTTTGGGAAGTTAGAGTACATGTGTTATTCTCTATCACATCATAACGCATCACCTGTAACCATGGACCCTTAAGGCATTGCTATTTGGCATCTGTGGCTCAATCCTGGTTATAATGAAGGCCTACTATTAGAGGGAAAGTTATTCAAATATTTGGAGATTACGAAACATTGTCAGTTATTTATCTTTTTATGAAATCCAATTATTTCTCAAACACAGCGGCAGCTTAGTTTTAATTGTGTTTTAGAAGCCCTAGCTAGCCCGTGTCGTTTTCCCTGGCAGTTAAAGGGCATTACATTTTTGTAATCCTCCAGCACAAGAACAAAACAAAGCTTGTGTTTGCTTGGGCTTATGGCAGGCAAATCACAAGTCAATAAAAAATGTTCCATTTTGGATCCCCCAGCAGTACAATAGGCGGTTTATTATATCTTAAAGTTTATCTTTTCATGATAACATACTATCTTCACTCTTGCTGTTACTGGCAGGTTCTGTTGAGTCAGCTCCATCTCCAGCAAGTCCCGTGTGAACACAAGGGAGCTAGCCTCAAACCGCCTGCCAAGTCCGAGCTCACTGTCGCTGCCAAGACCTTCACGACGCGCAGCAGGTTTCTGTTACAGAGGAATTCACTTACAGATGCTTCAGTGGTAGAGATGGAAATGCCATTCTAATCGCTGAAATATTGTTGCTGCTCAGGTCCAAAGTTTCCAGGGACTGGAATTGTTTCAAATGTTCAGGCACGATTTCAATAATTCTGTTTCCGGCCCTAGAATTAAGAAGACAGCAGAGATAACAGAGTTAATGAGGCAGTCATCTGATGGCAGAAAAGCATTGTTCTGTCCCTAACTTGTTCCTCAGGAGAAAGACAAGGCTTTCTACTCCCATAAAGCGTTACAGCCTCAGAAACCCCCAGGGGCAATGACAATGAGTGAGAACTCGCTCCTTGGAAATACGGCGAATGGATTCTTCTTAAAAGGGCATGTGTTTATTTTATCTCCTCCCCCCCTCCCCCTTCCAGGGCAAGGGCATTTCAATGTTCAAGAGCAATACCATCACTCACTCAATGCCATTGAGTGGATTCTGATTCCTATAGGACAGGATCGAACTGCCCCTGTAGGCTTCTGGGGCTGTAAATCTTTACGGGAGTGAGTGGTAGTCACCTAATCAATGTCAATTTAAGGATTAAGAGTGTAGGGGTGGACTCTAGGCTGTCCATCTGGAGATAGGCAATAAGACTTCTGTGTGGGCATGGCCTTCTACTGAGAATTCTGGGAAATCTGGTACTTCCTCCTTGGAGGCAGAAGACACCTCTCTCTCTGCTACTCCCTAGGAGACATTGCGGCTGACAAGACCTCTGAAGCTGGAGGAGCCACGTAGAGACCGCTGCCAGCACTGAGAGGCTCACAACGCCACTGGACCCGAAGACTTTCTACCCACTGGCCTGGGATCTTCTGCATTTGGCGTCACTGCATGGGTTTCATGATTCTGAAGAGGACTTTATCGATTGATAACGGTAATATGAGCCAATAATGGACTTATGGACTTGATCTGGACTGGACTGGGATGTTTTCTCCATGTTTAATTGCTCTTATATATAAATCTCTTTCTTATACACATACGTGTGTCCATGGATTTGCTTCTCTAGTCTACCCAGACTAACAGAGTGGAAACCTCATCTTCACCCTAGCAAATCCACAGACCCATTAATTTTATATTAAATAAAACTTGTTGCCACTGAATTGATTCTGACTCATGGCTACCTCCTGTATGCCAGAGCAGGACTGCTCTCCACGGGGTTTTCAATGGCTGGTTTTTCTTCTTCTTTTTAAAAATCATTTTACTGGGGGCTCTTATCACAATCCATCCATCCATCCATCCATCCATTGTCAAGCACATGTGTACATTTGTTGCCCCCATCATTCTCAAAACATTTTCTTTCTACTTGAATTCTTGGTATCGGCTCCTCATTTTTTCCCTTCCTCTATTGTCCATCCCCCAGGGAGGGGATTATATGTAGATCATTGTGATCAGTTCCCCCTTTCTGCCCCACCTTCCCATCCTGGTATCACTACTTTCAATATTAGTCCTGACGGGTTTGTCTGTCCTGGATTCCCTGTGTTTCCAGTTCTTATCTGTACCAGTGTACATCCTCT